AAAAAAAAAAATTTTGAAAGGTAGTGTAAATAAATATAGTGCACTCAAACTGCAAAGCCACTAGGCCAACACTCACATTTGATATTTCATATTAAGGTGGTAAGTTTTGATAATAATTAAATTAAATCATGCAAAGACTAATACAAATAATTTTGAACAAATGTACCATGCCATTGGTCTTTACTGACAAATAAGCCATTTAAATATCAAACGAAGTAAATGTGTGCACTGCACTGAATTAAACAACGTTAAACATATTCAATTAGCCCCAAAAGTTCACAAATTAATACATATTTGCAACTTACATACAAAACCATATACACTGTGCACTGATTTTTATTCTCATCCTAGTTTCCTCTGTGACTCATTGATGTTTCATTCGGACTCATTATGGACAACATGTGAAGATCCTGACACTTGCTTCCTTTAAATAGAAATAGAGATGACTGAATGCTGCAGTTGAACACTGAGGTGTCTCAATGCATTGGATTTAAGCAATGGAAATTTTCAGTTCATAACTCATTTAGCAGAGAGTTTATGAGCTGCTAAACGTGTGAAAACCGACAGATTCACTGCAGCACCCATCTACATTCATGTACCTGTGCAGGTGAAGGTGGTCCTGCAGGCTCCTCCGTCTCAGCGCTGGTCTTGCCCTGCTCTTTAAGGCGCTCCTTAAGACGGACCACTTCCTGTCGCAGGTTACCCAGCTCCTGCTGCCGCGCCTGACCAGACGCCTCCAGCTCCACCTTCTGCTCGATCAGCGCTTTACCCTGGGCCTCCACCACCGTGATCTTATGCCTCAGGTCATGGTTGATCCTCATCAGCCGGTTCAACTGCTGCTGGAGCTGGAAGAAACGCCATTTGTGACACATTAAACATCCACAATATGATGAATTTCAGAGTGAAACTGCACATTATGCACTTGTTTGTATCCACTGTGATTTCATTGGATGTTTAGGCTATGATGTTATTATTTTTTTCCAGCAAAAAATAGAAGACTTTGGCAACTTTATGTCTTGTATTAACATCAGTGCATTGACTGCTGCTAACAATCGAATTTGCTCGGCAAGAACACGGCTCTTTACCGCTTCAATGTCCTCGTTTTTGAGCGTCAGTTCACGGTCTTTGGCACGGATCTCATCTCGCTGTTTATCTACAACTTCCTTCAGCTTCTTCATCACCTGCCGTTCCCTCTCGGTCATGCCTGGCATCACAAATAAAAACAAAAATCAGCACAAGCAACCTCATTTATCACACAGAGAACCGACATTCAAGAAAATATCAAAACTATCACGCATGTTACATTAATAACATATTTGGCATTTTTGATCACTAGTTCACTAGTTGCAGGAAGTTTCAGGGTGGTGTTTTTTTTTGCATGGATCAGGACACTGGAAATAAGGACAGACGCAAGACGTCTGACAGACACTGTAAGCAAATAATTTCCTGACTGAGCGCCCATGTTGCTGCTCTTAAAATAGATGTGTGTCCGTGCGGAGAATCTGACACACAACCACTGAAACACTTCACGTTAGTCATGACCTAGAAATATAATGGGCCGCATGCCTTAAAGGACTATTTAGAGTTAAATACAAAAAATCTTTTTAATTCCTCCCTCACACTTGCAAAACACACAAAACCTAACTGGCACGTTTATTTGCACTGCATATATACTAATATGCAAATATATATAATATTAATATGTTTAGCATTTGACATAAAATATTAAAATAATGAATGTATTATCAATAAGTTATAAATTATATATATAGGGCAGTCTGACATAAGTCTGATAAGTTAAATAGAGTAAATTGATAAAAATATGCACGTTTATATATAGAGAGGATAGAGGATATATATATACACACACACACACACACACACACATACACACATACACACTCATATATATATATATATATATATTGTCAGAACATTTTCTGGAATCACCAGCATATCCATGTGCATTAAGCAATTTCCTGCATTCAATTTAAACAGCTCTTTGTATCTTTAAATCAGTGTTGAGAATGTCACATGTTGAGAATGTGAGAATCGGCACTGGAATGTTTGTGTAAACAGCTGCGCTGCGTTTGACACTGAATCAGACTCGTCCAGCTGGAGTGAGAGGGAGACTGTTCTGACGGCTGCGGTGAGGGCACGTGAGTGTGTCAGAGGCACTGTGGAGTCTCTGTGCTGCTCATGCAGTAATGTGCACTGGCTCGTCTTCAGTCACACGGAGAAGGGACGCTTTGTGTGGCGTTTGTGTCAGTTCCTAAATGGCTGAAAGAATGTGTAAGAATTCCTATGGGCATGATCACACGCGTTTTTGTATCTGGAACAGGCATGCTGGGAAAGCTTACTACTACCTAGTGCATACTGTGCAGTATATAAAAATGGTAAGTGAAACAAACAGTAGCCATTCATAGTATGCTAAGTTGTTGTCACATGACCTCAGTATGTTGCATGTGAGTGACGTCCAATTATCATGGTATTTCTGCTGGTTTTATGAAAGTCACTTGAAGTGTTTTTAAGACCATTTTAAGACTAAGTAAATAAAATTCTCCATTATGTTTAAATTTTTTTTTTATTATTATTTTTTTAAGTAGCTTAAGTAGTATATAGAAATAACTTTTCAAAAGCTTACCTTCTGATGAAACTACAAAAAGTGCTGTTCGGCCTCTTGTTTTCCAGTACAAAAGTTTAAAGATTCTTAAATCAAGATTAATTTACTTGAGAAGCAAAATGACATCAGATAAGAAGTCTTGTTTACTGTGAAATAGGGCTGTCAAAAAAAATTCGAATTTCGAATATTTGTCGAATTTAAAATAAAAATCCACATTCGAATGCAAAAATGTTGCATTCAAATTTTAGGTGTGCGTCAGTCAGCCTTATCAGCGGCGCACGAGATGCGATGACGATGACGATGTAGGAGTCAATGCATTATAATATTTTTGTTAGCCTATCCAGTTGAACACACTAGATGCGGTGCTGCTGCGTTGTTCATTAAAAAATATGAACCAATGCAGAGAAGATCTTGTTTACGTCAAAACTAAAACCAAGCCGTTTACACAGAACGCATATTTCGCGCATTTTCTAGAGGGACATCTATCACCATTGCACTCGCGTCTTGCACAAAAGAGCCGCCTGTTTAGAAAGCTATGTAAAATTAATGCAAGTTTAACTTGTTATAAACATTATAAAACATATCTCGAGACTTTATGACGGGTTTTTTCCCCATCCCACTACATCTCATGTTTTTAAATGAAAAATGTACTCTGTGTGATTTCGGTCCTTTGTATTAAACTATGCATACATACATGATGCTGTTTTGTTTATAGTTGGTTAAGCAACTTAATTAATTATAATTGGTTTATAAACATTATTTTAAACATTAGGCACTTTGAATAAACGTGCATTAGTAATATTTTGCTCGATGCGCCCTCTTGTGGCCTCAGGAGAGAAGCCAAAAGCTTTTCTTCATCCTAACTGAAATTATGCATTTTAAATTCGAATATAATTCGAATTTTAATAATATTTAAGTACAAAATTCAAATTTAGTTTTTCAGCCATTTTGACAGCCCTACTGTGAAACTGATCAAAATCAAAATGATCAAAATGATCAAATGGGCTCAGAGAAATCTACTTCATTCAAAGGGAACAAGTCATACTTCATTGACAGACGTTACAGACGTTTTGAAGCATAAACTCACTTAATTTTGACTTTATATCTTCATTTTGCATCTCAAGTAAGTGTATCTTGATTTAAGGATGTTTAGATACTTGTACTGGAAAACAAGACATGAATTTTTGGCAATGCATGCAACATTTAATGCCATAACATTATGATTTAAGACCTTTTAAAGCCTTCATTTGTGAAAAAGTGTAGTAAGACTTTTTAAGAATTGTTATTTTGTGCTTTTAAAACAATTTTGTGAAAATATATTGTTTTGGCTGTCAAATAAAGTTGTATTCCATCACATTGGAAATGGAAGGTCAAGTGAAGCGCAGTGCATTGTGGGATATAGTATTCCAGAGAGTGTAAAAGACTGAGGCAAAGCTCTCTTTTTCCAAACCCTGAGCTTCAACACTACCTTCCTGTTTCTGTATATCCTCTTCTGTCATCTGACACTCTTTGACGGACAGGTTGTTGAGCAGTGTTTTGTTTTCCTCCTGCAGCTGTGCGATCTGGGACAGCAGATCCTGGGCTTCTCCTCTCCACACATCCTCCACCAGCTCCAGCTCCTGTTCACAACCACACACACACTTTTCAGAAGCGGCTCATAAAATATACATGAGTGTATATTTAACCGCTGACCTTCACTGGAGTTACGTAACGTCTGAAACAATCAGCAAAAACACACAAAGCAGGAGCATAATAACATCTTCACAGAAGGACACAGACAAAAGCTGCATTCATAACTCTGCTTATATTCACACACTCATGTTTTTACTCTATTCTTACATTTGTGTGAGATTCTCATGTGCTACAATACCTATGGTAAAACCACAGTATTCTTCTTCATCTTGAAGTAGCATGTAAATAAACATATAGTATAAGAATTTTGCAATCCTTCAGTAAACATCAAGTTACCATAGTATTAGCACAGTAGAATCTGACCCCACACTGTATTATAGTACTACCTTAGTACATTTACATCAGCCTCATAAGATTAGGATTTGTTGCATATTTGCTCACTGTCCCAGTGGACACGATGTTACGTGATGATGATGGACTGTGGTTAAGATTACATCATTTCCTGTACCAGACAGGAACTTAGAAATTCCCATGCATGCACTGCTTTGTTCTGAAACACCACTGGCAAAGAACTTAAGCAAAGAAAAACAATGTATATACGTTCATACGTACTAAAAGTAGTAGAAAAAAGCAGTATACATTCAGCAAGGATCTGTTAAACTGATAAAAAGTGACAGTAAAGACTTATATTGTTAGAAAAGATTTCTATTTTGAATAAAATCATGAAAAAAATATCACAGATTCAAAAAATAATAATATTAAGCAGCAAAAACTGTTTCGAACATTGATAATAAATCAGCATATAAGAATGATTTCTGAAGGATCATGTGACACTGAAGATTGTAGTAATGGCTGATGAAAATTCAGCTTTGCATCACAGGAATAAATTACATTTTAAAGTAAATTAATACAGAAAACAGTTATTTGAAATTGTAATCATATTTCACAATATTACTGTTTTACTGTATTTTTTATTAAATAAATGTTGAGCATAAGAAACGTCTTTAAAAAACAGCCCAAACTTTTGGACATCAATGTATATACACTTTATATTAGGGCAGTCAAGCTATAATTTTTTTAATCTAATTAATCACATATATAATTAAAATAACATT